GAGTAACCAAGAAAACATATTATGGTTCTACCATCAAAGATTTAGGTGAACCAAAGAAAATCCGAAAAACTAGTAGTACAAATTATAAGTATAGTTTTGGAAGTGAAAAGAGTACATTTAAACCAAAGAACATGAGTAACATATTTGTAAAACTTATGCTCACTCGTAAAATTTTGAAATCTCCATTTGAGTCGAAGAAATGAAAAAAACGTATTTCTATTAGTCGTAAATTTCATTTTTTCAAGGGTACAAGTTTCGGCCAGATTCTAACTTATATACCTCTAATAAAGAAGATTTGAATACCTTAGATGATTCAAATTAGTTTCATCCTTAACCCTTACTCAAGTTGCGAGTACATCTACCTGACTCTTGAGTGCAAATTTGGGCAGCACGCCCTTTGTATTTACCTATTTTCCAGTCATTTATGGATTCATCCTTTTTCTCAATCAGTCCCAAAGTCACACATAGATAATCTCATTACAATAACCGTTCAATAGCCTTAATGTCATACAATTACAAAACCAAGCTAGTAAAGTGACCGGAAATAAGGTTTAAGCAAAATGACAGGTTTGACGTCTCTTAGCGTATCGGTCAAAATCGAAGCTACACTTATAGGATTGGGTACAATTTATACCGTTTTGAAACTAAGACAAGGGGTTACAACTTTCATGAAGACAACTCAAGCCGTTTCACAGTTTATCCAGGTCGAATTTATAGATTACAGAACCAGAATTTCACCATCAGGCTGGTTAACAGCATTATATTCAAATGACAATAACTCAGGCTACAAAAGTCTGATTGAGACGTTTTTAGGTGCGTTGGAAAGCTAAAACATAACACTACAACTTTCATGTTTTGGCCAAATACTAATTTAGTACGGATCAGGGTGAAAAAATGCGACCAGAATGATGAAATGTCAAAACTGTCTACAGAGCTCTACGTATAGTAGTCAAGGGTATTTTTGTCTTTTCAAGTGCTACAGTGCTCGTATTGAACTAAAATTTTACAGACAACTATAAAACATCATTTTCTACAACTTTCATGTTTTAAACTAAACCCAATTCATCCTCTATCATGGCCGAATGGAACTGGTCAGAACAGGGCAGAAAATTCTCTAAGAAAACTGAAAATTCCTCAATCATTACTTCAAATCACAATATTTCTCATAAAACTACATATTTCTCATTTCCAAATAACTAATATGCAATTACTAGAAGAAAAGAAGGATTTTCTTGACAATATACCTTATGACCACAAGGAAAAATGGTAGCTTAGACCTTCCTCCTCCAAAATAACTCCACCAAAGCCTTTAAGCTTCCTTAGTGATTACTTGTATGGAGTAGTTTGTGATTTGGTTTGTTAAAACTCAAGATTGAAGCTAGCAAGTGAATTAAAAATGAAGTTTTTTCTCTCTTATTTTGCTCCTCAAACAGCCGGCCAAGACCAAGAAAAATGATGGAGAAAATTTGGGTCAAAATTGGTTTTAGTAAAGGTGAGAAGGTCTTGGTCAAATCCAACCTCCAACCGATTTGCGACACGTGGCATCTTAGATGTTTTAAACTTATCTCTTCATTTCCAATGGTTAATCAATCTAACTAACCTCTAATCATCTCCTAGCACCATATAAAATAATAACATTTAGTACAAAAATCACTTAGTCACAAAAAATTTATCGCACTAGCGGGTCCCACGTCTATAATGCACTTCAAATTTAACGTACACTAACTTATACTAGGAAAATGATTTAAAATTGTACTTACTTATCAAAATGCATAGAAAATTTAATATTTTAAAGAACAGTATAAAAATGTAAGCAAGGAAATAAAATAATGCGTAAAAAATGTGAAATTTTTCGGGTTCTCACATATGTGAATCTTAAATCCTAGCTTTCTTGCACTATATCAAGTATTTGAAGTTTTGATGGCAAACTAGAAGTCAAATGGATATTGGTTGTGGTTAAAATTCTTGAACTAAACAAGTGGTAGTAGGGTTGGTTGTTTTGCATACCATGTGTTTGATGAATTGCTTGAGCTTTGTTCATAGTTTTCCTTCATATATTTACATGTTTTGGACCCTTTTTGAGTTAAAGATAACACTTGGTATGATGTTTAAGTTAATTACAATAAAAGGATGAAAGTTGGTGAGATAAGTGAACTAGTGGACTATTTTTCTTCCCCTTGGCTGGCCGGTTTGGTAAAAGAGGTTTCTCCTTGATTTTGTAGTTCATTTGCACCTTAATTAAGCCTAAGAAACTTGGCTAAACATTGGTTTAAAGTTTGGTATGAGTTAAAATGGAAATAAAGCAAGAAAAGTGGTTGTTTTAAGCAAGTAGTGGACTGTTTTGATTCCTTTGGTTGACTAGATAGTTTTGGCTCTTTTAATCAATTATGTGTGCTGCATTTTGAGCTCCGATGGTACTAGTTAACTTGCTCGCCTATATTTGATCTCTAGGAGGTTGATTTGGATGAATTTTGAACCAAAACAAGTGAAGTTAGCAACAAGAACTAGTGTAATTTTGCTAGGGTTTTAGGGCTTTTCAAGATTGGAAAATCAGCCGACTTCCCTGGATCACTGGTACTGATAGGAGATGAACTAGAGTGTACATTTGATACCGTTGGAAAGCCCTTCGAGTCTAGTTTCCAATGCCGTTAACGGCACCTGATTCCTTCCTACAGTGAGATATGGCCGTTTTCCCGAGACTGCGCCGGGCACGACTGTTTTACCCTCGAAGAAGACTTTGAACTTGAATGAAAATTTTCTTTTGCCCAATTTTTTTGCACTTGTCAAACTTGTTTTCTTGTGACCTTTTATTGCATTTTGGGCCTAACTTGCATGGTGAATTGAGTAGATTTAACCACTCACTTGATCACCTAATGAGCTCACATTTGGATTGGAAATGAATCTAGATTGTTAACGATTTCACTCGTTGCCTTAGGATTGGGAAACGGAGGTGATCGTAACCAAAGGACTTAACATTTGATCACTGCATTGCTTGACAGGTGAGTGTTCCACTGCATGTTAACTGTCTATGTGAAATCTCTGAATACTTGATTTGCAACTGTTTGAACCAAACATTATTTTGATAAAATTGAGGCGAGTATGTACTTTATCACACTCGACCTCCCTCGATTCTACTGAGGCTCTGTATAATGCTGTTATGAGAAGTGATTTCTCTATATATGACTGTGTATGAGTTGTTTGGGTGATTCCCCATCAACTACTGCTACTGTTTGGGTACCCAACCTTATAGGTGAATTGGTGGTATCGAGTCAGTAAAGGTTTGGTCGAGAAAATCGATAAACCCTGAGGACTGTTTACTGAAAACTGAAAATCGATATACTTGAGTATTAACTACTTACCGTTTGAGGAGTTCGGGTCCTGTAAGGGGGTTGACTGGTAGACGAGATTGGAGAAAGTGGTGTGCTATGGACATTGTATTCTTTAAATGCAAACGTTGACTGAGAGTCAACAGATTCTTGTATGATCAAACTCAAGGGATTTGGCTTTTGGAAGCCACCCGTATCCTTGAATTGAACTATGATTAAATTGTATAGTACAATACTGTGTTTACTTGTTTACATAACGTCTCCATTTGGCTATGTGCTTATATGCTTATTTGGAACCTCACTGAGTTTTAACTCACCCCACTCCTTTTGTTTTCCTTAACAGATCTGGGATGGACCTATGGTTAAGAGCTTTTATAGCATTATCTTTTATTTTGAACTTGTACTTTGGCTTGTAACCCTTTTGTTAGAAGACTTTTGACTCTTGTAAATTTGAAATTGTAAGTTCGACGTATATCTTGTAAATTAAGTGTGGAGTGGTAAGTTTGATATTTGACTCTATATTCTAAGTTTGGAAAATTGATGTAGTGATTATATTTTCATTAGGATTTGTACTTTTTTCCTTGAAGGTATTTCATTAGTTATCTTGAGTTACTAGCTCTTTATTCGACTTGGCCCCGGCGAAAGTTAGACAGGCAATCCACTGATACCCTAGGGTTCATCCTAGGGAGAGGTAGAGTTGTCACAAAAGACAAATTTCCAATTCCTATCATAGATGACTTGTTGGATGACCTCCATGGAGTCAGGATCTTCTCTAAAATAGACATGAAATCAAGTTATCACCAAATAAGAATGAAAACTGATGACATCTATAAAACTGCTTTTAAAACTCACTCTGAACTATATGAATTCCTTGTAATGCCATTCGGTCTAACAGACGCCCTAGCCACCTTTCAAGAATTAATGAACTCGATTTTTGAGTCTTATATCAGAAAATTTGTCCTTGTATTTTTAATGACATTCTGATCTATAGTTTAGACTATAAAACTCACCTACACCACTTGTCCATAGTATAGGAAACCATGAGGAAACATTTCCTATATGCAAAGATGTCTAAGTTTTTTTGGTCAGAACCAAGTGGAGTATCTAGGACATATAATTACTAGTAAAAGGGTGAAAACTGATCCATCCAAGGTGGAAGTTATGCTATCCTAGCCAACTCCTACATGTTTGAAGGCCCTTAGAGGATTTTTGGGCCTGATAGGATATTGCAGGAGGTTTGTTAAAGGATATGGAATGATTGCTAAATCACTCACTGAATTGCTCAAAAAGGATTAGTTTGCATGGAATGCTGCTGCTGAATCTGCATTTCAACAACTGAAAGGAGTGATGAGCAGAACACCAGTTTTAGCATTGCCTGACTTCTTAAAGCCTTTCCTGCTGGAAACTGATGATAGTTAGCTAGCTATTAGGGCTATTCTGATGCAACAAGGGAGACTTATAACCTATTTCAATCAAGTGCTTGGACAGAAGAACCAGATAAGATCCACCTATGAAAAGGAGCTCCTATCACTCATCACTGCAGTTCAAAAATGGAAGCATTATTTGGTGGGAACCCATTTTATTATAAAGACTGATCATGAGAGCCTTAAGTATTTACTGAATCAGAAAATAACCACTTCTCTTCAGCAAAAATGGTTGGCTAAATTTATGAGGATGGATTATGAGATCCAGTACAAAAGAGGGAAGGACAATGTGGTTGCTGATGCATTATCAAGGAGGGAAGAACAGAAGGATCCTGCAGAAACATCTGTTCATGCTATCACTACTATTAAACCTCAATGGTTGACAATGGTAGCTGAGAGCTACAATGGTGATGACCTTGCAAAAGAAATTCTACTGAAATTGGCCATGGGAGCTGATGCACTGCCTGATTACTCTTATAGCCAAGGAATTCTAAGGTACAAGGGAATGATATGGGTGGGAGCAGCTTCTGCATTAAGGCAAAAGTTAATCTCTTGTTTTCATGATTCTTTCCTTGGAGGACATTCTGGGAATCATGGTACTTATCAGATGGTCAAAAGCTACTTATATTAGCCTGGGATGGAAAGGGAAGTGGAACACTATGTGCAAAATTGTGATGTTTGCAAAAGGAGTAAAATGAGAATTGCTCTAATCCAGGACTGCTGCAGCCATTGGCCATACCTGAGCAAGCTTGGCAACAAATTTCTATGGATTTCATAGAGGGGTTACCCAAGTCCTTTGGCTGTAATGTCATTTATGTGGAGGTGGATAGACTCACTAAATTTGCCCATTTTATTCCTATGACATCCATTACACTGCTAAAAGTGTAGCAGAAACATTCTTTGATCAGATTTTCAGATTGCATGGCCTACCAACAAATATTGTCTCTGATAGAGATAAGGCTTTTACTTGTTTGTTCTGGCAGGAACTCTTCAAGATGCTAGGTACAGAGTTGAATCTTTCTTCTACATACCACCCTCAGTCTGATGGACAGACAGGAAGGGTTAATAGATGTGTGGAAAGCTACCTAAGGGGGTGTGTCTATGTATCAACCAGGGAATTGGAGGAAGTGGCTTCCTGCAGCAGAATGGTGGTATAACACTAACTATCACACAAGTCTGCAAATGTCCCCCTTCCAAGCCTTGTATGGTACAAGCCTGTTCAACTCAATTTGAGACCTGACAGCACATTAGTAGCTGCTGTGGAGGACTGGGCACAGAAGCGAATAAGTTGGAACTCTTTGCTCAAGGAGAATCTGCTAAAAGCCCAGAATAGGATGAAGCAAACTGCTGATAAAGGGAGAAGTGACAGGAAATTTGCAGTTGGTGATTGGGCTTATTTGAAGCTCCAACCTTACAGACAGACTTCTATAGCAGTAAGAAGGAATTTGAAGCTGTCGGGTAAGTGCTATGGGCCCTATCAGGTGGAACAAAAAGTGGGGATTGTAGCTTATAGATTGAAGCTGCCTGAAGGTTCTACCATACATCCTGTTTTTCATGTCTTACTACTCAAGAAGTCTCCAAAGAAAGCTCCAGTGAGTACCACATTGCCTACCTTGAATGAAGACAAGGACTTCAAAGTTGCTCCCTCAGTAGTATTGGATAGGAGGACAGATTATAGGAAGGGTCAGGGAGTTGAGCAGGTGTTAGTATAGTGGGAATACATGGAACCTGAGGAAGCTACTTGAGAAGATTGGACATTCATTCATGCTCAATTTCCTTCTTTTGAAATCAATCCTAGAGACTAGGATTGTTTTATTGGGAAGCATTGTTATGGCGGTGAGATTAATCTAAACTTTCACTCAACAGCTATCATGACTGATCAGCAAAGAAGTTAGCAACAGAAATGACATCACATGAAGAGGCCCACGAGGCAAGCATTGTTATAATAGAATGAAGTCGGTTGAAACAGAAGAAAGTTAGTTAGTTAGGCAGTTAATTAGTTTGTTAACAGATTGTTTCTTGGGCTTGAAGCTAGTAATTGTATAAATAAACACCTGCAATGTATGGAAGAATCATCGTGGAATTCGGTTGTAATCTTCCTACTTCTTAATAACATCTCAGATTCTCTCCTTCTCACCCTCCTTTGTCTCTTCTGTTCTTACTCTCATTTCTCCTCCTTCTACCCTTACTTCTGATCATTTCAATCCATTTCAGTTTCAATCCATTTCAGGGATGTCATCCTTAACTTTATTAAAATGAAGAATAAAAATTGAAGGGGTACATGAATGTACCTCCTGTACAATGATTTTTTGGTCTAGAATAAACAATAATAAAAGATCTAGCATATGGAAAACTAATAATATCTAGTCAAATGATTGATTGAATCTTAGAAGAAAGAGTAGCCATCGAGTAGAACACATGTTGGCCAGCCTTGTCCAAAAAAGCTAGAAAATCTGCAGTAGAATTGAAAAGAAAAAGAAAATAAAAAGTATGAGTTATTTTGAATGTTAAAAAGGACAATTCTAATGTCAAACAGAAATATAAATATAAATTAATTTTAAAGGGATAAAAGGAAAGTCAATTACTTGAGTTTGTAAAGAAAAATGATGAAACATACAAAATTTACAAAAGAAAAAATCAGTCAGTTCATATAATGTATATTTAGGTGTTCACTGTCATCAGTATCATACCATATACATATTTATATGATATGAAAAGTAGATGCTCGAAAAGTATAAGATAAATATTCAATATTTGCTCAATTAATTGGAAAATTTTATTAAAAGATTCACGATTGATTGGTAAGAAAATTATAAGACATATAGATAGTAGATAAAAAAAAAGGATTAATGATGGAGAAATTTAGCAAATCTAATACTAAATAACATCATTATTAGAGTAAGAATTATTAGAAAGGAAGGTGAATGGATAAACTTTTTATGTTAGCATTAATGTGGCAGATTTTATCTAGGTATTAAAATGATAATGAATGACCAAACGAATAATAGGGCTAGCGAACATGATGAAGAGGATTAAAAAATATATAAGTAAGATTGACAAAAAAAAGTACAATTAATACAAACTCATATAAGTTAGGCCATTGATGTATTGGTTGTCAAAAAAGAAAAGAACAAAATCTATAAAAAAAAAATAAAATGCACAATTTTTTGACAATTTATTTTGTCACCTGGGAGAGAAATTTGAGCAAATCTAATAAATTACACTAATTGCAATATACAAAGGAAGGTGAAGGAAACTATCTACATGATGATGTAGCATACTTTTTGTCCAAATTTTAGTAGTAGTATTAAACAATCAAGCTAAAAATAGGAATAGAGATCGTGATTGAAATGAATTAGAAAAGGAAAGATATGAGTTGATTGACAAAAAATAAAAAATGTATAATTAACACAAACTCAATAAGATCGGTCATTAATAAAATTTTTAAAATTGACTATAAATAAAGAATTACAAAAAAAGGACTGTAATCGATTGTTACCAAAAAATGAAAAGAATAAAATCCACAAAAAGACATAATAAATAAACTCATTTTTGTAATAATTTATGGGTCTGTCTAATGAGAGCTAGTGGACACATGTTAAGATGTATTTCAAGTGTTAGATTACTTGCGCCTGCTAAGATGTGCTTCAAATGTTAGATTTTTTGGAAAGATAAGATTAATTCAGAAAAATATATAAATGCAAAAGATGATAATAATTGTTAGTGTGTGTGTATATATGATAGATTAAGCAGAATTTAAGTGTGTTAATGAGTGTCCAATAGGCACATATTAGAAAAGGCCATATTTTATTTTGTCATATGCTGAAAAGATAGAAGTTCCATTTAGTAGAATATGGAAATAGTTAATTCAACAACTTACCAAAATCAGAACTGAATAGAGTTTTATTATCTATACATATGTGTGTGCAAGCACGTTTTTAAAATTGACTATAAATAAAGAATTACAAAAAAAGGATTGTAATCGATTGTTACCAAAAAATGAAAAGAATAAAATCCACAAAAGAGATAATAAATAAACTCATTTTTGTAATAATTTATGGGTCTGTCTAATGAGAGCTAGTGGACACACGTTAAGATGTATTTCAAATGTTAGATTACTTGCACCTGTTAAGATGTGCTTCAAATGTTAGATTTTTTGGAAAGATAAGATTAATTTAGAAAAATATATAAATGCAAAAGAGGATAATAATTGTTAGTGTGTGTATATATATGATAGATTAAGCAGAATTTAAGTGTGTTAATAGTGTCCAATAGGCAAGTCCAATAGGCACCTATAGAAAAGGCCATATTTTATTTTGTCATATGCTGAAAAGATAGAAGTTCTATTTAGTAGAATATGGAAATAGTTAATTCAGCAACTTACCAAAATCAGAACTGAATAGAGTTTTATGATCTATACATATGTGTGTGCAGGCACGTGTATATACATGTGCATGTGTGTGTGAGTTTGTGAGTGTGAGTTTGTGTGTGTGAAAGTCTAGACTCGTGTCATCTTTTTTTTTTTTTCCAACAAACGGTAACATTTTATAGATCTTAAAACACTTGATTTTACAAGTATTACTTACAAAAAAGGGGGTACTACCCTGCAGTCCTTCTTGACTAAATCAACCAGCCATATTGGGAAATCATGTTCCCATTCAATATCATGTACTAGCTTTACTGGAAAATGTGCTAATACATGGCTGATTTCATTTTCTGTTCTAGGAATAAAAACAAAAGAGCATCTCTCGAAACCTGTACTAAGGTCCTGTACATCTTCTAGAATTGTTGCAATTGTGAAATCATACTCCCTGCTCCTGTTAATTTGCTCAACTACTAATTTGCAATCTGAATGGACTATAATTTGTGTCCATCCCTGTTGTTTAGCCATCAGTAATGCGTTCCGTATGGCAAGTGCTTCTTCTTTGCTTGCTATTCCCCTTCCCTGTGTGACTACACCTTTAGCTTTCAGCAGTTTTCCTTTCCAGTTTCTTGCTATTATTCCTTGCCCGGTCCTGATCCCTTTGGCTGATATGGCCGCATCCGTGTACAACCTTATCACTCCCTCCCTTGGCATCTCCCTTCTTTGCTTGGGTTCACAACTTGTTTGTCTTACATTCCACTTCCTTTGTGTCTCCCTCTCTTGCTCAAACTCTAGCCACTTAGCTTGTGCTTTCCATATAGTTTTGAGAGGATTCTGATTTGCATCTTCAAAAACTTTTTTATTTTTGGATTTCCAGATTTGCCACAAGATGTTTATGGTGAGGTTGACTCTGTCCTGTCCTTGTTCTATTGTTAATGCTTGAGTCACTTGTTCCCACCACAGTCATAGATTATGTTCCTTGTAACCCCTCCCATCTGACTGGAGCCATTTTCCATACCTGCGCTACATTTTCACATTCGAAGAACAAATGTTCCATTGTTTCCTCAGCTTCTCCACAGCAGCCACATCTTCCTTCTCCCTTTCTTAGCCGTTTTGACAGTATCTCATTGACGGGTAAGCACTGCTATAAAAACTTCCATATAAAGTGCTTGAGCTTTGCCTTCACATTCATATGCCAAAGTTTCTTCCACACATTGTGCTTTCTTATTTCCCAACTTGTTTTAGCATCTTGTCCTCTCGGTTCCCTGAGTTTTGTATCAAGCTGTGTTGCAGTGTATTGTCCAGATTTTGAGTAGCCCCAGACCAGTTTATCTTTTCTTCTTCCAATGCTGGTTGGGATATTCTTTATTAGTTCAGCATCCTTTTTACAGAAACATTTCTGGAGTTGGTCAGATTTCCATTTTCCATCTACTAGCAATTCGTTTACCCACACTAACGTGCAATCCTCAGGTCTTGTGCCAGATACCATGCCTTTTTCAGCTCCAGTTATCCATCTGTCATTCCATATGCTCACCGATCTGCCGTCCCCTATTCTTTTCCACAAGCCAGCTAACAAAAGTGATTTTGGACTGTGTAAGCTCTTCCAACACCAGGAGGCTGAATTGGGTGGACTCTTTTCCATCCAATTTGGGTCTTTCATATATTTTGCCTTCATTACCTTGCTTACTAGCAAATTTGGAGCTGTTAGAAATCTCCATATTTGCTTTGTAAGCAAGGCCGTGTTGAAATCTTCTAAATCTCTAAAGCCTATTCCCCCTCTTCCCTTCACTTCCGAAAGCTTCTTCCAGCTTGCCCAATGCACACAGGTTTCTTGTTCTCCTTTGCCCCACCAAAACCTTGCAATCTTAGCTGTGATTTGTCTACATAAGCCTCGAGGGATTCTAAAACAAGCCATCACATATGTTGGCATCGCCATAATGACTGCTTTGATGAGTATTTCCTTTCCCCCTTGATTCAGCAGCTTTTGTTTCCAGCCTTGAAGCTTGTTACTGATTTTGTTCATCACAAAACTAAATACCTGTGTCTTCGATCTTCCAATTGTCATCGGGAGCCCCAAATATGTGCCATTTCATGCCTCTTTCATATTTTCCAGTTTGGCTTGCACCTCTTTCTTTCTTCGGGCAGGAGTATTTTTGCTGTAGAAAATAGCTGATTTGTCAAAGTTAACCACCTGTCCCGATGCATTTCCATACCGTTCAAGAATGATTTTGATCTTCCCTGCCTCCTGCTTGTGTTTTGGCAGCAGAGTAAAGAATCATCTGCAAAAAATAGGTGAGAAATGGTTGGGCTGTCCTTGCATATTTTGATGCCTGTGAGTAGGGCTGCAAA